AAAAAAAACCTATGACCTATGATTTGAGTTGGACATACCCCGCCACGGGCCAATTTCAATGGGAAAAAAACATGATTCACAATCAAATTTAGATAGTGGGGATAGTCCATTTTCACGCAAACCCACTTATCTACAAACCAACTAACATAATCATGACTTGCGATTTTGCAACAAGCAAAAAATAGCAATGAGCTTCATTCCAGGTGCTCAGTGCTCCATCCTAAATTCATGAACAACGCCCAGTTCATGCTTGTGACACTCAAAGTCCCGGGTACTTGGCAGCTGAGGTTTCGATCGTTGCAAATCGACCTGTTGGAATCACCAACCTACCAGTACATCCAGGTACCACCGGGAAACCGGTGGTTAACCTGTCCATGAAATTCCATTGACCCATCTGACCGTTGGTCTTGGCGGGCGTCAGATGCTGTACCCGAGACCTGGGAACTGCTCGAAGCACAGGTCATTGATGGTCATTGCACGAAATCGCAGCTGGACCGCCGTGAAATGTTCAGTCGACGTCTGGTGCACTTTGATGGATATTTGATGGATATTTGATGGATATTCATTCCTTGCTGTTGTTTTACAGGGGCATTTCGGAAGCTCGTGAGTGCTTCAGAAATCTCCAAGACTCCACCGGGGCATGGGTCAACCCTAAAAGCCTCCAGAGTTTAAAGATGTGATATTTTGAGGCAACAATAGCTGAGATGACCTGTGTTGACCCGTGCCCCCGATGGTGAAAAGAACAACGGTGTTTGGGTGTGTTTGAAAGGTCATATATATATATTATTTATTATATTGTATTTAGCTGCTTAAACTGCCAGACTCGGCCAGCAGTAGGTCGGAGAAGTCGCCGGATCCCTGCTCGAGGGAGATGACCCGGTGAGAAGCGTTGGGGAAGTATAGCGGCGCGGTGGGGAAGTATCGATACAACTTTGGTGGGTGGTGTGACCAAAAGCCCCATGGCATGGTACTAACTTTCCATGGCACGCAGTTGGTTGTGAAAAGCCGAAAATGGACCAAAGTTGTGGCCAGACCTAAAGGCCCACGACAACTCAGCCGAAAAAGGATAAAAGAAGTGGTTCCGCACTGCACAGCTTGCAGGTCGTTGCAAAAGCTCAAGGATCATCGCTCTCATGATAGAACAAGAAATGTCGATTGTTTACCCACCAAAAAATATCTCACCTAGCACCTGTGGATGATTTTCCAGTTTTAAAAGATCAGGATTCGCCATATGTACAGTATATAATAGTATAATAGTATAATTGTATATAATATATACTATTAATATATATATAATGTATACCTTGAAATTTATCAACTTTCCATTCTTGACAACCAAAGGAAATCGTGGTATGAAAATGCGACAAGTAATGGCTGGTCGACTGCGTCCGTGTGTTCAGCATGGCAGTTGGCGCGGTGTCGAGTCTCGCCTGCGTGCAGAGAGGTCACCCAGGTTGGTGATCACCGGGGGCAGGATGCGGGTAGACTCTAAGAGTTTCCGCCCAATTTTCGGGAGAAACAGACGTGTTTGGCGAATCGTTTGGTTTTTCGGCAGGTCCTCCCGGTCAAACATCATCAATGATCGATCCAGGCAATGGGTGGGTGATGGTTGCCACCCGCATCGCCAGGAGGGCTACCTGGACATGAGTCGCATCGATGGTGAGGAGTGAATTTCTGTGACTTGACCCCCAAAAAATCTGCGAAACGTCATACGAACGATGGCCAAACGTTGGACAGCATGTTGGAGGATGGTCCTACCACAATTCGTCAGGATTTACCCTCTGGTAAACTAACATAGCTATTGAAAATGGCCATTTATAGTGGATTTTCCCATTCAAAAGTGTGATTTTCCATAGCTATGTCAGCCATTACCAGAGGGTAACAAAAAGCCGATGACAAGGATTCACATTAGATGAGAACATCCCAGCATCCCATGTTGGCACTGCCATGAGCCAAGAGGTCCCAGTGGTCGGAGGGTCTCTTGTTGTAATCATTCCATTTCTGTGGGGATGGGTCAAAACCAATAGTACCCCTTAAATGTTCACATCAAAATAGCTGGTATTTATGGATGTGAATAACCCACTAAAAATGGTATGTATAGGTATTGACCCATAGCCATGTGGGACTAAAGTTTCCATTTCTTAGTTCTGCACGGACACGATCGGACACGATGCTTTGTGCTACCCTTGGGGAAGCATGGCAATGGAACATCCCAAGATTTCAATGTATTGGATCATCATCTATAGGCGGGTTATTTTCCATGGCCAGGTTAGATTCTTTTTACTGGAAGGCAATCCCATTCTCATCTCATTGATCAAAGGTGTTAAGGTGTTAGCATGAGCTGTAGCAGCCTCTACTGGAGACTATTCCCCAGAAATGATGCTTTCTGTTAATACAGAAAGCGCTCCGAAATCGGCAAAGCTTCGTTCTGACTTGGGAGAAATATGGAGAAATTGTAACAAAATAAGTCCAGTATCCTAAAACTAACTTGCAACTGGAAAATCCGGCATTTTTGCTTGGTTTTTCCTAGCTTTTCGCTTCTTTTTCTTGGCTGTTTTCCACTACAAAAAGGTTCGTTTCTCTGGTACCACTGGCCAGTGGTACATCCCAGAGGTTCTTTTCTCGTTCAACGGCTGGATTAGGAGCTCTCGCCGGAAGAGTTGGCGCAAGTGGCACATAAGCCGGAGCTCTTGGAAGGTTAATCATTCGGTTCATAGGCCTGGTGAAAATGATGACTTGGGTAATTCCCAATACCATCTGCACCATCCCGCAGTCATCACCGTTTTTACAGGTTTGGACACCATTCCCAGTCATGGGTGGTAAGAATGGCATTGTGAAAACCCCACGTTAGTGGCTTATTATCCCCACTAAAGCCAGCCAGTTGTTGGTGACCCATTGCGTAGGCAGTGCATGGGATGAATTTTCTGAAGGATTCCAGGAGAATTTCGAACAGATTTTTCACAAAATGCACGTGGGATGCCTCCATTTGAAGAAAACACAAAAGTGTTTCTAGAATGGAGATCCATAGGCAAGCCGCATTACTTTCCAATGCTTTTTTGGAGCTGTGTATAGAGACACCCAGCTGCCATGATCGTTGTCAGACGCGAGAGCCAGGGGTTACAGTGCCTTTGGGGGACCCCGAAAAAGGCTGGTGCAAGATGCTTATTTTAGGACGAGGAACGCTATTGATGTAGGGTCCAGCCCTTCAGGTTGAGAAACTGACTCTTGGTTGTTTTGCAATTCATTCTTGTCGGTCAAAACAGCTCCAATCATCATCAATATTGTTGTCGACCCACTTGCTTCTTTTTTCCCTCCCGTTGTTGAGATCCCACATGGATTGGTAAACATCTGGTTTAAAAGTTTTTTTTTGGCACACATTTGTTACGTTTGTTACATCTTGCTTTTTGGTGACTTGATCGTGGTAGAACACCTGAGGGTCTTCGTCAAACTGTCTAATTTATTTTCAATCACTGACTGTCACTGACTCTCAAAACACTTATCAAGTCTTCTGCAAAAGTCTTAGTCAAAGATCCTCCGCAGGCCCAAGTGCTGATCAAAGATCTGCCGGGTTTTGATCAACAATCCGATCCTGTTGTTTCCGCATGTTTATGCTCCAATCAACGACTGAGGTTGGTGAGATCATTTTTTTTCCCCTTCCGTTCCTTAAACCAAACCGAAGGTGGTCCCTTCGGTGGAAGTGGGATGAAGAGCCCAAGTGACTTTCATATGTTTTCATATACAACCCAGTATTTTTGGGGATCATGTCATCATAGAATCATATACATATATAATCCATGAACTGCTCACCTCCATTTTCAGCAAGCATCATTGGAGGACCGTTCCAATGTATATATGTGAACATGGTATATATATATATGTATGTGTATATGTATATGTATATATATATACATATTTGACACATACCCACCATTAATAAGCCACCAGAAACTTCAAAAGCGTGTCCTACTGTTACCGAGTCCCCAATTCACAGCTATGACACATCAATTTTCATCACCAGCTACTATCAAAGTAATGTCATCCATTTTTATTCAATGATTCTTTTGCTGTTTTTTTTTTCCGCCATTTTCCACATGTTTAGACACCCATGGGAAGTTCAGTCTCAAGGTGTGGCCCCAATGCTTGGCGCTGGTGTGTGCGTGAGTGGCGGCCCGCGCCCCGAGGCGCCATTTTTTTATGCCGATATCATGGAATCTAATCTGGGAATAGCGATGGGGCGATGGGCTTCAGTTTGTTGGGTTACCCAACGTCTTATGGAAAGCGCAGAGATCCTTCACTTAGGATACTCTCCGGTGCGAAACATGGCTAGCTGGAAAGGCTTCATGGCTAGTTCGATGGTTTTCCTGGCATCCTCCATGGCTAGCTCGGAGATTTCCCAGCCATGTTTGATTGTTAACAAGTTGCATTACCAGATGGATTTTTTAATTATCCAGGAGGATAATTACCATAATTCCAAATTATCCAGCAATCATACCTAATGGATAATCTGTTTTTTTTTGGTAATTATGATGATCCCGACGCCGAACACCAAAGAACTGCGAATAGCCATATCAATTACAATGGTTGACATAAATTATGTAAGAGAATACTGGGCTTCCACCCGCTTCAAAGCTCACCTAAGAGTCGATTTTTCACGGAAACCCCATGGTGAAGATCTTTTTCTTTGCCCCCGAAAAAGGGGCGAAACCTCGGACGAAAAGCAAGCTGCTGTTGATATACTTACTGTATCATATGAATAATGATTACTGTATATATATTATATATATAATATATATATGGGACTTCTGCGTTGAGGTTGCAGAGGCGGCGTTTGTGATTTGGCTTACAGTTCTTTTGTCAAAAAAACGCATACTATATGTGTGTATATGATATATACATATATATATATATACACATGTATATACACACATCGGGTCAGTTTTTTGATTTTTGGTTCCGAAAATCTGATTGCAGAAGGTGCGACTGCCGTGTTGGCTCAAGTCTGGGAATGCACTTCCCACCGCATGCCGCATGAGGCGACTTGCTCATGGCGGTCTGCTGGAAGTGACAACATTCCAAATTTCAGTGGGTTTCTAGGGTAATTTTCCAGTGGGCTTCAATTCTAGATTGAAAGTTCATGAAACCATTGCAATTTGGCCAGAATCCGTTTGTTTTCCCGACTCTTGCTGTGTTGAATCATTGAACACTTCATCACCTGCGGGGTAAAGCAGCTGTTGATCATTTTCGCATTAGAGAGGCCTTAAAGAGCCTGGGGTGACCCGCACAAAGCAGCCATGGGTAGCTTTGGATTGATGGTTTGACTGCATTGCAAAACAGCTGATGATCAGATTCATATCTATGAACTGCTTGGATCTAATACCCAAACATGGATCAATCAGCAAGCACTTGCAGGCAGCAATGCGGGGGAGTGAGTTTGGAGAAGTGTTGAGTGCCTTGGATACGATTGGTACGGAAGTGGTTCATTGGTCCAAAAAATTACCATCCTAATGGGGAACCTGATGATAAATCATGTGATTAAGGGGGTTTTCCCTTAGATTTTCAGGCAAGGTTCATGGCAAACCCAGCTATTTTGGTCTACAGAGTCTACAGGGTATCCCCCTTTTTTGGTGATATCACGATGCCTGCTTGTTTTGTTAGGTATAGATTCTCTTGGTTGAATGCACGGAATGCACGTTTTTACGCCTTTGTGGATCAACCGCATTTTTCTTCTGAAAAATCGACACCTTTTCTTGTTTTTTTTGTTGATCAAGTGCACTTTTGCTTCTTAGTTGAGTCCCCAAAATTGGTAGTTGGTTCTACAAATGCACAATTTTCTTCGTGAAATCTCCATTTCTGTTCTTTAAACTAGATCCAACATTTTGTTGTTTACACCCAATTTCTTGTTGGTTAGATCCAGTTAAGGTCAGATCCTCAGTTTCTCGGTCATGTTTCTGGTGGTGAAATCTCCTATGTTTATTGATGAACTCCCAATAAATTGAGTTCTTAAATCAACAAAAAGATCCTGATTTTGAGACAATCTTAACATATAAAATCAACATGGCAAGCTGGGAATTCCAGCATTTTTATGGAGCTTTTGGTGGGAAAATCATCGACCTTTTTGTGGGTCCCACGTGTCGCAAGGCGCCTACCCCACAGAGCCCTGTGAGTCACCAGGGTTCCGACGGCACGTGCCACTCTTGTCGGGCCGTGCGGTGCAGGTGGGATAGCATCATGGATTTCACCAGAAAAAACATATTATCATATTATACTATGGGCCAATATATGGCTATGGATCAATACCTATACATACCATTTTTAGTGGGATGAACATCCATAAATACCAGCTATTTTGATGTTCACCAGGGGTACAAGGTTTTGACACACTGCCATATGTCAATATAATATAGAATAATATAGATATATATACATAACTGGTTGGTGGTCTGGACCATTTGGATGATTTTTCCATTCAGTTGGGAATGTCATCATCCCATTTGACGAACTCCATCATTTTTCAGAGGGGTAGGTATGCCACCAACCAGTACTATGGGCCAATGGGATAAGAATGGGAATGTATGTACTATGGGTGATGGGAAATCGATGGAACATCTATATATAAGGTCCTTGACATAGATTTTTCCTGGGGCCCCTAAATATGTATCGGACATATTGTTATTGGGTATGGCATTGCGTATTGAATTCGTACATGATGCCGAAGCGCAATGGTAGTATTGGGTATCATCCCCAAATATTGGCTATATGATGATGATCATTATCAGTTATTAGGTACACGATGTTTATTTACCATGACCAATAATGTGGGATTCAACAATACTTCGGAGTTTTTCATCAACAAATGGGACATCTTTTCTCACCAAGATTGGGATGACATCAAAAATGGGTGGATGACAGTAAATGATCCGTAAATATCATACAATCAGACATTTGTGGCGCTAAGCGCATGTCATCAGTCCGTTTCTAGTGGCATACCGAATAGAATACACGAGGCCTCGCCATTTTGGAAGGGACGGAACCCAACCCTGGAAGCCTGAAAAGAGAAAGCTAAAACACCGCGGAGTAGCCAAGCTGGGTTATGTTTTATGCAGGCGATCTAGTTTTGCTATGACCACAATGGGGTGACCCCAATAGCAAGCACTGGCAAATAAAAAGGTATGAGTCATGAATGATCGTGATGACAGAAGCAATAAACCATACCCAATTTGGCCACTGTGTTGTTTTCTCTTCTAACATTCAACATAGATTCGGTCTATGTATGTCTGGGTTTGAACGTCGTTTTTTTTTCAAGAACCTACGAACTTTTGGGACTGACATGGAGATATCATTGGTAAAGCACTGCTAAACCAGCATAGAGAGGCAGCAATGATAATCATGACTGGATCAAACAAGACCAATGAATCTGGGACAGAGCCAGTTGTTACAACAACGAAAGGCAGATTTTTGCTACTGCTATTTACATAATGACAATATATGACAATAATGAACATGTCAGCAATGAACACGGACATGCATCCAACATCAAGAGGTCGATTTGTCACCACAAACTCATGTGGATGCAACCTTTGTAGCCAGAATGGAGAAACAACTCGATCTAACCAACAGAGATGGGGGAATTTTTCGGGACGGGGATAGAATGGCTTAATTTAGACAATCATTAAGTTTATACATATGGTTATACCGCCGGACTGGAAGTTAGAATGCGGTTTTGGAAACCTATAGAGCGGTAAATTTTGGAAAAACAACGGGGTAAAGCGGACGCATTCTAACTGGGAATTAGAATGCGCCCCGGTTCGCGCTTGACTTCTAAACCAATATTTTTCATTATTTTCATTATTTTCATTTGTTTTTCATTATTCATTATTTTTCATTGATTTTTCAATGTTTTAAAGATCAGTATGTTTTTATGTTGGGTAGATTTTTTGCAATTTACATGCATATTCTGCATACTTGCAGTACATGGAAGACACAGGACGGTCGAAAATTCAAAATTTTCGAGTCTTAGGGGTTTCAGGATTAAATAGATAGGGTTAGAATGCCGTCCCGGATCTGTTTAGGGGTTTCAGGGCTAAATAAATAGTAGAATGCCTCCCGGATTTCTCACACGGTACGCGGGTTTTTTCTTGAAATCCATGTTTATGTTTATTATTTTTTCATTATTTTGAAGATTTTTTTCATTATTTTCCATTGATCTTTCATTATTTTGAAGATGGTTTTCATTATTTTCATTTGTTTTTCATTATTTGACGATGTTTTTCATTATTTTTCATTGTTTTTTCAATGTTTTATAGATGTGCTTCAGTAGTTTTTTAATGTTGGGTAGATTTTTTGCAATTTACATGCATATTCTGCAAATTTTCAGTACATGGAAAACGCGGGACGGTCGAAAAATCAAAATTTTGGAGATTTAAAGGTTTCAGGAATAAACAAGTAGGGTTAGAATGTTGAGGGGTTTCAGGGCTAAATAAATAGTAGAATGCCTCCCGGATTTCTCACACGGTACGCGTTTTTTTTCTTGAAATCCATGTTTATGTTTATTTGTTTTCATTATTTTCAAGATGTTTTTCATTATGTTTCATTGATCTTTCATTATTTTGAAGATGGTTTTCATTATTTTCATTTGTTTTTCATTATTTGACGATGTTTTTTTCATTATTTTTCATTGATTTTTCAATGTTTTATAGATGTGCTTCAGTAGTTTTTTAAAGTTGGGTAGATTTTTGCAATTTACATGCATATTCTGCATATTATCAGTACATGGAAGACACAGGACGGTCGAAACTTCAAAATTTTGGAGTTTTAGGTGTTTCAGGATTAAATACATAGGGTTAGAATGCCGTCCCGGATTTGTTTAGGGGTTTCAGGACGAAATAAATCATTATTTGACGATGTTTTTGATTATTTTTCATTGATTTTTCAATGTTTTAAAGATGTGCTTCATTTTTTTAATGTTGGGTAGAATTTTTGCAATTTACATATTCTGCAAAGTTGCAGTGCATGGAAGACACGGGACGGTCGAAAATTCAAAATCTAGGAGTTTTAGTGTTTTCAGGATTAAATAAATAGGGTTAGAATGCCGTCCCGGATTTGTTTAGGGGTTTCAGGACTAAATAAATAGGGTTTGAATGCCTCCCGGATTTCTCACACGGTACGCGTTTTTTTTTTCTTGAAGTCCATGTGTGTGTGTGTCTATTATTTTTTCATTATTTTCAAGATGTTTTTCATTATTTTTCATTGATTTTTCAATGTTTTATAGATGTGCTTCAGTAGTTTTTTAAAGTTGGGTAGATTTTTGCAATTTACATGCATATTCTGCATATTATCAGTACATGGAAGACACAGGACGGTCGAAACTTCAAAATTTTGGAGTTTTAGGTGTTTCAGGATTAAATACATAGGGTTAGAATGCCGTCCCGGATTTGTTTAGGGGTTTCAGGACAAAATAAATCATTATTTGACGATGTTTTTGATTATTTTTCATTGATTTTTCAATGTTTTAAAGATGTGCTTCATTTTTTTAATGTTGGGTAGAATTTTTGCAATTTACATATTCTGCAAAGTTGCAGTGCATGGAAGACACGGGACGGTCGAAAATTCAAAATCTAGGAGTTTTAGTGTTTTCAGGATTAAATAAATAGGGTTAGAATGCCGTCCCGGATTTGTTTAGGGGTTTCAGGACTAAATAAATAGGGTTTGAATGCCTCCCGGATTTCTCACACGGTACGCGTTTTTTTTTTCTTGAAGTCCATGTGTGTGTGTGTCTATTATTTTTTCATTATTTTCAAGATGTTTTTCATTATTTTTCATTATTTTCATTTGTTTTTCATTATTTGACGATGTTTTTCATTATTTTTCATTGATTTTCAATGTTTTATAGATGTGCTTCAGTAGTTTTTTAATGTTGGGTAGATTTTTTGCAATTTACATGCATATTCTGCAAATTTTCAGTACATGGAAAACGCGGGACGGTCGAAAAATCAAAATTTTGGAGATTTAAAGGTTTCAGGAATAAACAAGTAGGGTTAGAATGTTGAGGGGTTTCAGGGCTAAATAAATAGTAGAATGCCTCCCGGATTTCTCACACGGTACGCGTTTTTTTCTTGAAATCCATGTCTATGTTTATTTGTTTTCATTATTTTCAAGATGTTTTTCATTATGTTTCATTGATCTTTCATTATTTTGAAGATGGTTTTCATTATTTTCATTTGTTTTTCATTATTTGACGATGTTTTTTTCATTATTTTTCATTGATTTTTCAATGTTTTATAGATGTGCTTCAGTGATTTTTAAAGTTGGGTAGATTTTTTGCAATTTACATGCATATTCTGCATATTTGCAGAAATAATGAAGCACATCTTTAAAACATTGAAAAATCAATGAAGAAAAATTAATGAAAAGCATCGCCAAATAATGAAAACCATCTTCAAAATAATGAAAGATCAATGAAAATAATGAAAAACATTTTGAAAATAATGAAAAATAATAGACACACACATGGATTTCCAGAAAAAAACCGCGTACCGTGTGAGAAATCCCGGAGGCATTCTAACCCTATTTATTTAGTCCTGAAACCGCTAAAACTCGAAAATTTTGAAGTTTCGACCGTCCTGTGTCTTCCATGTACTGCAACTTTGCAGAATATGCATGTAAATTGCAAAACATCTACCCAACATTCAAAAAAAAATGAAACACATCTTTAAAACATTGTAAAATCAATGAAAAATAATGAAAAACATCGTCAAATAATGAAAAACAAATGAAAATAATGAAAATCATCTTCAAAATAATGAAAGATCAACGAAAAATAATGAAACACATCTTGAAAATAATGAAAACATAATAACCATAAACATGGATTTCAAGAAAAAATCCGTGTACCATGTGAGAAATCCGGGAGGCATTCTAACCCTATTTATTTAGACTTGAGACCCCTAAACAATTCCGGGACGGCATTCTAACCCTATTTATTTAATCCTGTAACCCCTAAAACTCCAAAATTTTGAATTTTCGACCGTCCCGTGTCTTCCATGTACTGCAACTTTGCAGACCATGCATGTAAATTGCAAAAGATCTACCCAACATATAAAAAACAATGAAGCACATCTTAAAAACATTTAAAAATCAATGAAAAATAATGAAAAACATCCTCAAATAATGAAATCCAAATAAAAATAATGAAAACCATCTTCAAAATAATGAAAGATCAATGAAAAATAATGAGAAACATCTTGAAAATAATGAAAAAAAACATAAACTTGGATTTCAAAGAAAAACCCGCGTACCGCGTGAGAAATCCGGGAGGCGTTCTAACCCTATTTATTTAGTCCTGAAACCCGTCAACAACTCCGGGACGGCATTCTAACCCTATTTATTTAATCCTGAAACCCCTAAAACTCCAAAATTTGAATTTTCGACCGTCCTGTGTCTTCCATGTACTGCAACTTTGCAGAATATGCATGTAAATTGCAAAAGATCTACCCAACACAAAAAAAATGAAGCACATCTTTCAAACATTGAAAAATCAATGAAAAATAATGACAAACATCGTCAAATAATGAAAAACAAATGAACATAATGCAAACCATCTTTAAAATAATGAAAGATCAATGAAAAAATGAAAAACATCTTGAACATAATGAAAAATTAATAAACATAAACATGGATTTCAAGAAAAAACCCGCGTACCCTGTGAGAAATCCAGGAGGCATTCTAACCCTATTTATTTAGTCCTGAAACCCGTCAACAACTCCGGGACGGCATTCTAACCCTATTTATTTAATCCTGAAACCCCTAAAACTCCAAAAAAATGAATTTTCCACCGTCCCGTGTCTTCCATGTACTGCAAATATGCAGACCATGCATGTAAATTGCAAAAGATCTACCCAACATATAAAAAAATTGAAGCACATCTTTAAAACATTGAAAAATCAATGAACAATAATGAAAAACATCGTCAAATAATGAAAAACAAATGAAAATCATGAAAGCCATCTTCAAAATAATGAAAGGTCAATGAAAAATAACGAAAAACATATTGAAAATAATGAAAAAAAAATAGACACACACATGGACTTCAAGAAAAAAAACCCTCGTACCGTGTGAGAAATCCGGGAGGCATTCTAACCCTATTTATTTAGTCCTGAAACCCCTTTTAATCCTGAAACCCCTAAAACTCCAAAATTTTGAATTTTCGACCGTCCTGTGTCTTCCATGTACTGAAAATATGCAGGATATGCATGTAAATTGCAAAAAATCTACCCAACATAAAAAAAATGAAGCACGTCTTTAATACATTGAAAAATCAATGAAAAATGATGAAAAACATCCTTAAATAATGAAAAACAAATGAAAATCATGAAAACCATCTTAAAAATAATGAAAGATCAATGAAAATAATGAAAAACATCTTGAAAATAATGAAAAAATAATAGACACACACATGGATTTCAAGAAAAAACCCGCGTACCGTGTGAGAAATCCGGGAGGCATTCTAACCCTATTTATTTAGTCCTGAAACCCCTAAACAAATCCGGGACGGCATTCTAACCCTATTACCCTATTTATTTAATCCTGAAACCCCTAAAACTCCAAAATTTTGAATTTTCGACCGTCCTGTGTCTTCCATGTGCTGCAACTTTGCAGAATATGCATGTAAATTGCAAAAGATCTACCCAACACAAAAAAATGAAGCACATGTTTCAAACATTGAAAAATCAATGAAAAATAATGACAAACATCGTCAAATAATGAAAAACAAATGAACAAAATTAAAACCATCTTTAAAATCATGAAAGATCAATGAAAAAAATGAAAAACATCTTGAAAATAATGAAAAAAACATAAACTTGGATTTCAAAGAAAAACCCGCGTACCGCGTGAGAAATCCGGGAGGCATTCTACTATTTATTTAGTCCTGAAACCCGTCAACAATTCCGGGACGGCATTCTAACCCTATTTATTTTTAAACCTGAAACCCCTAAAACTCCAAGATTTTGAATTTTCGACCGTCCTGTGTCTTCCATGTACTGCAACTTTGCAGAATATGCATGTAAATTGCAAAAGATCTACCCAACACAAAAAAAATGAAGCACGTCTTTAAAACATTGAAAAATATCAATGAAAAATAATGACAAACATCTTGAACATAATGAAAAATAATAAACATAAACATGGATTTCAAGAAAACATGGATTTGGAATTTGGAGTTTTAGGGGTTTCAGCACTAATTAAATAAATTCAGAATGCCGTCCCGGATTTTTTAAGGGTTTTAGGACTAAATAGACAGGTTTAGAATGCGTCCCGGATTTCTCGCGGGGTACGCATTTTTTTTGCTTGAAATCCATGTACTTCCACCAAAGCCTGATTCTAACTTTCAGTCCGGCGGTATATATATATATATAATCATATAATGTGTGTGTGTGAACCGCCGGACTGCCAGGAATGGATACGTGCATATATATATATACACACACTTGAAAAATGATATAGACCATTTAACGATTGTATATGGAAAACTGTGTTTTGATACATGTCTTTACTGTCACACAACCATAACACCCACAGGGAAGCATTCTAAGCTTTCTTGCGTTAAATTCGAAACCATCACAAGAGCAAAGCTCACCATCATTTGGTTCCCCCATCATCTGTTGAAGCTGCTAATATAAGAGAAAGAAAAAAGCTGTTTTCCCAAGCTAATTCTGGATATTTTGACTGTTTTTGGGAACCCATTGGGAGACGCATTCTAAAAAAAAAACAGACACATTCTAACTTGGGATGTTAAAAATTTTGGAGAACAAGACGGCATTCTAACTTCCAGTCCGGCGGTATATATACATATATTCAGCATAATGAGGATGTAGTGACCATGAAGTGTTTACCACCAACAACCCTGTGGATCTCAACAAGAGTGTGCATTGGCAGCCGCGTTGCGGCCTCCCATTGGGTTCCCAAGTTTTGAACCCCAAACATTTCGCAGGCGTCCCGGCACACGAACGAAACCTGGTTGTTTTATTTTCATTCGTCCCATCTAGGTGTATTTCATATTTTTAGAATTTTATAGATCGCCTGGGACGATTTTTCATATGAAATATTGTGTGATACTATACTGTCAGTTGGGATGATGATTATTCCCAACTGTTTCTGGAAAGTCATTCCATCCAGCCATGTACACTAAAACCACCAACCAGTACACTAAAATAGATCAGAAATGATCGCCTCGAAGGCAGCGGAATGGACCCCTGTCAAGCATCAGCAGCTGAAGGAAAAGTGCCCCGCCAAAAAATGGGTCGCCCTTTTTGCCTACCCGGGTGACCCCAAAAAAGCTGGGATTTTGGGACGTTCATCCAAAAAAGCTGTGGTGTAATAGGTTTTGATCCATCTGTGAGATTGAAGAACCCACTCTATGGCAAACCTGAGATATGAACACATTTGAAACATGTGTGATGATCAAGGATGAGATTTCAGGGTACCCATGTGATAAAGACATGACCATGATTGTGTCAACGAACACATTGAATTCTTGAGCAACAGAAAAGCAGATGTAACTAGGAAACATGAGAACATAAGCAAAGATGGCACTGGGATATTTCCATTCTTAAGGAAAAAACATCATCAACAAATGGGATTTCTGGAAGGTAAATATTGGGATATACCCCGGATGCAAAGAAACAACCGCTATGAATTCGGCAGGACCGAGACAAGTTGCCTTGATCTTCACAAAGGCCACCAATTTAGTTCGTGGATTTCCAATCCAGCCACGTTTGATGACACCGGACCCATGTTACCCTGGAAATAGCTGTCGTTAGCGTGGGGGTTTTCACCTAGACCGGTCGCCGCGTTGATGCTGGAAGCCGGAAGCTTCCAGCGAAGCAGCGATAAGTCCAAGGTACATTTTCCTGGTTCGACATGCGCAAAGCACTTGGAATAGAGAGGTCGAGTCTTGACAGTGCAATTATGATGGCTAATGAGGCTATAGATGATGATTACCCTCTGGTTATTTAACATAGCCATGGTACGTATAGATGGCCCATTGATAGATGGTTTACCTATAAAAAATGGTGATTTTCCATGGCTATGTTAAATAACCAGATGGTAATTCCTGATTAAACAACTACAATCATCAACAGGGGTACATCGCAGCCACTGGTTGGTTGCCGCTGCCGTAATCTCTGCCAGCACTCAAGCCTGGCCGTCGCGTAAACCATCCACAAGCCCCCCTGCAAAGAGATTATTCTTAGCTGTTCACTACAATATATATATATAATTATATATGTATATATATATATATACACATATTTGTACATATATATATATATTTATATATTTATGTATATATATATGTTTATATATATATGACTCGTGGACCATTTCTTATTTCAAGCGACTGCCCATTAAACTATTAGACTATGAAACTAGAACTTAACCATCCTTACATTCCATGACATTGGAATCCATTAGACTGGCTTCGACTTTTGTTTTATATGAATATAATATCAAACTCCTGTCCTAATAAATGGAAAACCACCCGTCATTGGTTCGAGGATTTCCCCGGCTATTGATCCGGGCTTTCCTATCCATGCTTGGCACCGTTGCGGGCAACCATACAATTTTCCGCTACGATCCCCATGAATATCGCATTAATTCCCATTGGTTATAATATTCCCAATAATAACGATTACAAATTATTGTGTCCATTATTTCCCATTGCTCATAATATTCCCATTACTCCTCCCACTATCCTATTCTGGTGAATATCCCATTGGTTATAGTATCCAATACTATCCCATTGGTTATCACATCCCATTACTATTCCCATTGATTACAATTTCCCATTGGTTATTACTATCCCCTGCCATTGCTATCAATGATCACGATATTCCCATTGGTTCTAACATCCCATTACTATTCAATACTACTCGATACTATCCCATTGATTATCTCATTGATTACTATCATGTAATCCCATTGGTTATTACTGAGTAACTCTTCCCATTGGTTATTACTATCCAGTGCTATAACTTTGGGATTACATGATAGTAAATCCCATCGGTTATTACTGTTCCCATTGGTTGTTACTATCCAGTGCTATAACTTTGGGATTTCATGATAGTAAAACCCATCGGTTATTACTGTTCCCATTGGTTATTACTATCCATTGCTATAACCAATGGGATTACATGATAGTAAATCCCGTCGGTTATTACTGTTCCCATTGGTTGTTACTATCCATTGCTATAACCAATGGGATTACATGATAGTAAATCCCGTCGGTTATTACTGTTCCCATTGGTTGTTACTATCCATTGCTACAACCAATGGGATTACATGCTAGTAAATCCCATCGGTTATTACTGTTCCCATTAGTTGTTCCTATCCAGTGCTATAACCAATGGGATTACATGATAGTAAATCCCGCCGGTTATTACTGTTCCCATAGGTTGTTACTATCCATTGCTATAACCAATGGGATTACACGATAGTAAATCCCATCGGTTATTACTGTTCCCATTGGTTATTACTATCCATTGCTCCAACCAATGGGATTACATGATAGTAAATCCCGTCGGTTATTACTGTTCCCATTGGTTGTTACTATCCATTGCTATAACCAATGGGATTACATGCTAGTAAATCCCATCGGTTATTACTGTTCCCATTGGTTGTTACTATCCAGTGCTATAACCAATGGGATTACATGATAGTAAATCCCGTCGGTTATTACTGTTCCCATTGGTTGTTACTATCCATTGCTATAACCAATGGGATTGCATGATAGTAATTCCCGTCGGTTATTGCTGTTCCCACTGGTTGTTACTATCCATTGCAATAACCAATGGGATTACATGATAGTAAATCCCGTCGCTTATTACTGTTCCCATTGGTTGTTACTATCAATTGCTATAACCAATGGGATTACATGATAGTAAATTCCATCGGTTATTACTGTTCCCATTGGTTGTTACTATCCATTGCTATCATATTCTTCAGGTCCCAATCAACCATCCCAGGACCTCATGAAGACGGTGAGGCATCAGAAGCTTCCCGAGATCTCTGTGAAGGCAAGGCAACAGCATAGCGAACCGAAACGCGTAGCCGCAGTGGTATCTTTGGTTGAATATGGACAGTTTAATCTCAAGGAAAACAGGATAACTTGTGATAATTTTATATAAGGACATTGGATAAGATTGAACTGAACCTGTTGGCCATGTCTGCCACAATTCGTTTGGTAGAATGTGTAGATATGACCAAGAAACCTTCAAACAGTGTAACAGGATGTAACAGGGGAGTGGAACGAATGGGTCAATCATCAACATGAAATGAAAGAACGTGGGGATGAGCCAGCGACCATCGACCAATTCAACTAGTTGTGGGTCACGGGTGGTTCCACTCTTCGAGGTGGTCGAATCAGGCATTGGGGAGTCCTGCAATACTTGATGATAGGATTAATAGTCACCTCGAAATAGGGGTATGTAATGTAATGTAATGTATATATATATATATGTATATGGTCCAAAGTTAATATGTATATGGATGTGATATATATATATATAAATAAATAAATGTGCCATGGTCCAAATTTGGAGTGTTTTCCCACATTGGGGGATGGTCATCAATCCATTTTCATAGGGAGTCACATTTGGACAGTATAACTATTCCTGTTATGGCATGGATGACCATAAACCGCCTTGAAAACCCGTGAAACTTGACCCACCTGACAGGATGTTTTGTCCAGTGCAGCTCACATTGCCACTCGAGAGGCGAGATGGAGCTGGGGATGCCACCAGCAGCAATTCGTGTGGATTTTGCGCGATTTTAGTTGGGATTTTTCGATTCCCATTTGGCTATGGATCAATATCTGTTACCCTCTGGTAATTTAACGTAGCTATTGAAAATGACCATTAATAGTGGATTTTCCCATTAAAAATGGTGATTTTCAATAGCTATGTTAAATTACCAGAGTGTAATACCATTTTTAGGGGGATGAACATCCATAAATCCCAGCTATTTTGATGTGAACATTTAAGGGGTACAAGGTTGGTTTTGACACACAAAATCCATGGGCTCCGCAGGTGTGGCATAGAGATCATCCCATCTCGGATGAGGGTGTGCTGCAATCCCAGCAGTTGAGAGAAAAGATCCGACTAGCGAGGCGCGGCTGGGGGATGGGGATGGGGATGGGTAGGGGATGGGGATGGGGATGGGGATGGGGATGGGTAGGGGGTAGTGGGGAGTTTAGAGAGTTCCAAATCGCGAAAATCTGCTCATAAAATCGATCCTCCTCAACTGATGTTTTTTTTTTCAATGCTAATTTCGAGTAATTTCTATGGAACCATTGGTCCAAAAAATATGGGTTCCCAATGGTTCCCAATACAGGGTCGCGATACCCATTTAGCCATAACACCACTTACACATTCTTGGAAATGTCCGACTGATTTGCAATGTATATGTATATCGCTCTGTGTACATATATCTCTATGTATTTGATATGTATATGCATACGCATATGCACATGTATATGTTTAGACTTATTGAATTTATATTCACATTTATACACATACATGAGCACATAGCCACTTGTCATGACCCCCTTTTCTTCTTCGCGCAGGTGCGATGGCCCTGAATCCTTCCATGAAGTCGACGAGGAAGAAGAGATGAGGTCGACTGGGATTGAGGGAAAACCAGACCCAGACGACTCATGTGGCACACTGTGGGGATGGGTAAAAAATGGAGGGTCACTGCAAAAAAGGAAGGATTAACCATTGAGTCACGGAATTGGGCTTCTCCAAAAATGAACTTACCCACAAATTGCAAATTTTGATCGGAAACATGATGATAAACCATCGAATTTTGGGGTCTCCTACTTCCAAACAAACCCATGGTTGACCCATTTCCATTCACACATTAAGCTGCTTCCTGTCAGGAGATTGCTTTGAAACATAAGCCCAAAGAATATCCCCAACAGCAAGAAAGCAGCGGCCGTAGGTCCCAAACAGTAATTCCATATAAGCGAAATAGTTTTTGTCTCATGACCAAGCAATGCAGTGCATTTTTGCGCCCTTCTGCCCGCCAGCCTCCCTTACTACAAATACTACTACTACTACTACTACTACTACTCCTGCTACTACTACTACTCCTGCTACTACTACTACCCCTAATAGTACTACTAGTACTACTAGTACTACTAGTACTACTAGTACTACTAGTACTACTAGTACTACTAGTACTACTAGTACTACTAGTACTACTAGTACTTCTAGTACTACTAGTACTACTAGTACTACTAGTACTACTAGTACTACTAGTACTACTAGTACTACTAGTACTACTAGTACTACTAGTACTACTAGTACTACTAGTACTACTAGTACTACTAGTACTACTACTACTACTACTACTACTACTACTAACGACTAACGACTAACGACTAACGACTAACGACTAACGACTAACTACTAACGACTAACGACTAACGACTAACGACTAACGACTAACTACTAACTACTAACTACTAACTACTAACTACTGACTACCAACTACCAACTACCAACTACCAACTACTAACTAAGTACTAACTACTATCTACTAACTACTAACTACTAACTACTAACTACTAACTACTAACTACTAACTACTTACTACTTACTACTTATTACCTACTACGTACTACGTACTACCTACCTACCTACTACCTACTACCTACTACCTACTACCTATTACTTACTACTTACTACTTACTACTTACTACTTACTACCTACTACCTACTACCTACTACCTACTACCTACTACCTACTACTTACTACTTACTACTTACTACTTACTACTTACTACTTACTACTTACTACTGACTACTGACTACTCACTACTCACTACTCACTACTCACTACTCACTACTCACTACTCACGACTCACGACTCACGACTCACGACTCACGACTCACGACTCACGACTCACGACTCACGACTCACGACTCACGACTCACGACTCACGACTCACGACTCACGACTCACCACAAACCACAAACCACAAACCACAAACCACAAACTGCAAACTGCAAACTGCAAACTGCAAACTGCAAACTGCAAACTGCAAACTGCAAACTGCAAACTGCAAACTGCAAACTGCAAACTGCAAACTGCAAAGTACAAAGTACAAAGTACAAAGTACAAAGTACAAACTACCAACTACCAACTACCAACTACCTACTACTACTACTACTAGTACTACTAGTACTACTAGTACTACTAGTACTACTAGTACTACTAGTACTACTAGTACTACTAGTACTACTACTACTGTCTCTGGACTTTCTTTAGATCAGACCTTATAGATGTAAATAGTTTTGGTATGAGTTGTACATTTCTCGCTTGTCTACACGGATGTATTTTTGAAATATGTTCTTTTTTGAAAAAATAATTACATGAAGACACAGGTAATCGATGATGGAAAATAAATTCTGCATGTCTTGGCATGGATAATGATATGTATATTGTCATCAGGTACATGTCTCTTGTACGCATGGCACTCAGGTGCAACTACACTTACGTGATTTTTTACCTCATGTTTTCATGCTATGCCGCTTTTTTTTAATGGCGCTTCGCTTTTGTCGCTGGTTGTTCAAATGCGTTTGCTTGAAGATTCCATGTGATTTTATTTGAATTGCGTTCTGGCATTCCATCTTGCATACATTCTGACATCTAAACAACAGGCTTAAAGTTTGTTGATATTTTGTGTTTTATTGTTCTTTACTTACGTCCTTTTGAAGACCCGGTGCGCTTTGCGTAAGGTTTGAAAATTGTGTTCTTCTAGGGTACTTTTCTCCAGTATAAAAGCGTTTAAAAGAGCAAGAAGGCGGATTATGCACCAGTAGCAATGAATCAGCGTTCGAAAAATATTGCCTTGTTTTTTTCAACTGTTTTTTTTTTCGTTTTGTATTTACATCTGGTTTTGTATTTACAATCTTTTTCTGCCGATCTGCAACTGACACCGGCTCCTTCACGACCATGACAGGCACAGACTGGGCCATAGACCGCATCCACTTCGGAAGCTCCAGCTGCAAGTCGAAAGCCATACGAAGATAGCAATACAAGCTGCACGTCCTGGTGTGCCCAGACACATAGGTGAAGGTGTCGCTGTCACCCTGCCGCACGACCTTCATCGGGCCAAGCCACCCTTCTGATTGGAACATTGCTGCCAGCTTCTCCTTCCAGTGCGCGCCGTGAACGTTGGGAAATTACAGTGGGAGCATGCAAACTTTATGCTCCAAATCTTCCAGAAACAACAATTACTCGTGCGATCCCCATCTTGACCGATCGTTGAGGTCCGGTGGAAGAAGGAGGAAGAGAAGAGATAACATATGATCTAACAAATCTCACCTGACAGGCGGGGACTTAGTTGCTCTGTTCGCCTGCGTCAAACAGAGCAACCAATCGTTTCATAGAGCAAATCGCTTGGAAAAGAGTGGTTTTCGGGTGCTAGTTGCTTTGTTCGACTCCGAGTTGCTCTGTTCGCCTGCGTCCAACAGAGCAACCAAACGTTTGGCATGTGTCGGTTTTGTCTGGCAGGCCGATATGGGTGATGAGTACGATATTATTACTACTACTACTACTACTACTACTCCTGCTACTACTACTACTACGACTACGACTACGACTACGACTACGACTACGACGACGACGACGACTACGACGACTACGACGACTACGACGACTACGACGACGACTACGACGACTACGACGACTACGACGACTACGACGACTACGACGACTACGACGACTACGACGACTACGACGACTACTACGACTACTACGACTACTACGACTACTACGACTACTACGACTACTACGACTACTACGACTACTACGACTACTACGACTACTACGACTACTACGGTACGACTACTACGACTACGACTACGACTACGGCTACGACTACGACTACGACGACTACTACTACTACTACTACTACTACTACGACTACGACTACGACTACGACTACGACTACGACTACGACTACGACTACGACTACGACCACGACCACGACGGCGGCGACGACGACGACGGCGACGACGACGACGACGTCGACGACGTCGACGACGACGACGACCGACGACGGACGACGGACGACGGACGACGGACGACGGACGACGGACGACGGACGACGGACGACGGACGACGGACGACGGACGACGGACGACGGACGACGGACGACGGACGACGGACGACAGACGACAGACGACAGACGACGACGACGACGACGACGACTACTACTACTACTACTACTACTACTAGAAGTATTAATAGTACGCGTTTCCGCGCGCTATGCGCGTTATGCGCGTCTGCGTTTTGCGCAGGTTCCGCGCGTGTTGTTCTGCGCGGGTTCCGCGCGTGTAGCCGCATTCAAATTTCTGAAAGAAATTAATATATTACGACGAATATTACTACTTGGGAACTTTTCATAATAACCTCGTGGACCTTGAGAACATTTACGTGGAAAACTTGGGAACCTTGAGGGAACCTTTACAATACAACCTTGGGAACCTTGACAACCTTTACTTGGGAAACTTGGGAATCTTGAGGGAACCTTTACAATGCAACCTCGGAAAGCTTGAGGAAACCTTGACAATATAACCTTGGAATCCTTGAGAACCTTTTACAATGTAACCTTGGGAACCTTGAGGGAACCTTTACAATACAACCTTGGGAACCTTGGAAAACTTGGGAACCTTCAGGGAACCTTGAAGAAACCTTGAAGGAACCTTGGAGGAACCTTGAGGGTAAGTTTTGGGAACCTTGAGGGAACCTTGGCAATCTAACCTTGGGAATCTTATAGAAACCTTTACAATGTCACCTTGGGAACCTGGACCACGTCTACTTGGGAACCTTTACATAATAATCTTGGGGACCTTGACAACCTTTGCTTGGAAAACTTGGGAGCCTTGCAGGGAACCTTGAAGGAACCTTGAGGGAACCTTTTGGGAACCTTTTGGGAACCTTGAGGGAACCTTGAGAAACCTTGGGAACCTTGAGGGAACCTTTACAATACAACCTTGGGAACCTTGACAACCTTTACTTGGGAAACTTGGGAATCTTGAGGGAACCTTTACAATGCAACCTCGGAAAGCTTGAGGAAACCTTGACAATATAACCTTGGAATCCTTGAGAACCTTTTACAATGTAACCTTGGGAACCTTGAGGGAACCTTGACAATCTAACCTTGGGAATCTTATAGAAACCTTTACAATGTCACCTTGGGAACCTGGACCACGTCTACTTGGGAACCTTTACATAATAATCTTGGGAACCTTGACAACCTTTGCTTGGAAAACTTGGGAACCTTGCAGGGAACCTTGAAGGAACCTTGAGGGAACCTTTTGGGAACCTTTTGGGAACCTTGAGGGAACCTTGAGAAACCTTGGGAACCTTGAGGGAACCTTGGGAACCTTGGGAACCTTTACTTGGGAACCTTTACTTGTGAACCTGGGAACCTTTACTTGGGACCCTGGGAACCATTACTTGGGAACCTGGGAACCTTTACTTGGGACCCTGGGAACCTTTACTTGGGAACCTGGGAACCTTTACCTGGGAACCTTTACTTGGAACCTGGGAACCTTGGGGGAATGGGTTTTGGAGTTGCTCCGGTCTGCTCCGAAACCTTTACTATGGCTGAAGACCCCAAAGCATTCTGCTGTTGGGGAAAAATGAAAAGAGGAAGTGAGTGAAGTGCCTGAAGTGTGTGTAGTATGATTTGAATATACAACTTGGACATTCCTGATATCTAGTTGTAAATACGATTATCCACTCTTCAAAAAATCCTTTCCAACTTCTACGCATGGAATGGTCCCTCCAAGATTTGCAGTTTGCGCTTGGAAATCCTTGAGTTTCTCGATCTCGTTGTACACTGAGAAAGGTCAAGTGACGAAGAAGAGCGCATACGCCGCTTCTATCAGCACTTCCTGGAATCTACCCAGTGTTTTGGCTGAGGGGACCATCGGAGCAACGATGGGCCTTCGGAGTAGGCCTATATTTTTTTTAGGCCATTTTTGCTCCAAGAGATGTCCATTTGGGTTCCAATCTCAGGCAATCTTAGGTCCTAGGTAGAGACGGTGGAGACCCTACAACAAAAACCATCACAGATTGAGCTCGAAGAAAATAGCACGTCTTGGACATTTTATGGATCGCAATCAAAGTCCTTGATAGTCCTTTGTATCCAGGTTTTGACCCGGTCAAATATGGTCCCAAAAAAAGTTTTTGAACCTTCCAAAATGGCAGTGGGTACCCTTCCAAAAAAAGGTTTCACCATATAATACCAGCTGGTCAAATATGGCCACAGGCTCAAAAATGCTGGCAGGAATGGTTGAAGGTGTTGCCCTCCTACAATGATCTACAGGAGCGGAAAAAAACACATGGCAACAGGATCTCCTGCTAAAAACCAACTGAATCTTCTTCACCCGCCATTGCCGGTTGCACCCTGTCATAAATTCATTGGGATGACACCAGCGAAGGTCACATCTGCAGTTTTTACACCTAACAAAAACCAGGTCCGACCATAAAAAATTGACCTTTCTATGTTTTTTTTTTCAGGGATTCCTATATGATAGTCGTTGGATGAACTTCCCCTTAAATACCCTTCGGTGTTATCAAACATGGCTAGCTGGGGAGGGTTTTGCCGGGAAGATCAGTTACTTCCTACATATATCCTGAGTTGAAAAAAAAACCATATTTTCAGGGCTTCCCGCAACAAAATCGTACAATTCCCATGGTCAATTTTCCCGCTGATATCTCTCATACACAGGAATTCCCATGACTATCCCAAGCAAAAAAAAGAGACACTCGACATTTCTCTACAACGGTGCAGTTTACCATGTTTTGATATGCTTACCCTCTGGTAAACTAACATAGCTATTGAAAATGGCCATAGAAATAGTGAGTTTTCCCATGAAAAATGGTGATTTTCAATAGCTATGTTAAATTACCAGAGGGTACAGCGTGCATTTTTTCAAAACATGTCCCTTAAGCACGTTGTCAGAACACCTCAGAACGAGGTCGATCTACTGCTCGCCTTTGCTTCGAGCACTGCAAACGGCGCATTTTGCTCTCTCCGACCATGATGGCTGGGGCTCCATCAAGTTGCTGAAGGAGGATCCCATTCGGATCCCATTCGGATGACCACGGGGAAGCCACGTCAGTGTTTCACGTGGGTTTTTTTACAGTAGTTTTGATGTTTTTTCTATGGTAAAAGTTGCTCTTTTTGATGTGAAAAACATGAAGATGATTTTTCTCTCTTGTTTTTTCAATGAGTTGCGGACAAACTTTGACACATGTCTTGGTGAGGTGGTTCTGCTCCGAATGGTATGGAATTGAATTCACTAGTATTCAACGTGCAGCATCTTGGTCCGCCTGAAGGCACGGGAGCACTTTAACTTCATCTTTCAACGGGATTGCTTGGGCACGGATTTCGGATGCTTGGATGACTTCGGTGTGGTGTTGGATGACTTCGGGATCCATATGGGGGGTTCTTCATGTCATCGGGGTTCCCGATTTCTTTTTCATTGGCCTAAAAACATCACCCAATCCATGGATCATTTAGTATTATTATGTATTATTGATCCAGTAGTATTATTATTATGATCAAGTTATTAATCCATATTATGATTGATCCAATCCAATACATTGATTTAGTTCGGGAAATCAAGGCTTCACCATGGAAATTTTGAGAAACACCATGGATCTTCACTTCGCTTCCTGGCGGTGAAGAATTTCAACCGAGGTTCAAATCTTGTGGACCGGGCAGTGTCCATGTCCAAATCACTGGTAGATGAGACAGATCAGTTGCTGGGCAAAGGATGGGAATTTCCCATGGAATCACTGAGGTTTGTTCGATATGTTTGTGGATGTTTAAGTGATGATACTGAAGATGATCGAGCTACAGTACGGTAGTGAGGCTTAAAAGTAAGCAACACAGCTGGGCACCACCCAGCGTTGGTGTTCGAGACCGACGTTTTTAAGGCGGGATTTCCCAGCGTTTTGACCTAGATTCACTGGGCCGGCCATCAGCTGAGGCGATTGTCAGGGCGCCTTGATGCCTCAGACTGCCAGGAGAAGTGGTGGAGTGATGATCCCGAAACGGAGGTGCTGGGACGGGAACATTCAGGGGAAGCAACAGAAGTTTTCATGGGGTTATATTAAATAATTATAATATATATATTATTGTATATATATATATAATATTATATTATTATTATATATATATATAATATTATATATATACATATGTATAATATATTATTCATTATATATATAATGGGCTCATAACAGATATGTTGATGCACACTGGGTCATAACTTCTCATGAACAGGGTCTGGGGACTCGTCATGCAGCTTTGGTGAATAGTGGATTGGTGATCAACGATGGTTGATTGAATCATCTTTTCTTTTGGGTTACTTTTGTTCATTTCTGGTTGGTGGGTTTCAATTCAATCATCAACATTAATGAGGCACACAACTAACAATCATGGGTATATACTCCACAACAATGGTTGTATGCTTTGCAAACATGGCCCTATATGTAAGCAACAATAATACTTTTTTTGTATAGTATCTTACAAGAATGCTCGTATGGCCAACAATATGAGCCGAGCCAAACAAGGGCAGGAAAAAACAACATTGTTGGGAATACACGTGCTTGGGAGTTCAACATAGTTTCTCAGTTCAATCTCTAAAAATGGAAGGATCGTCCTAAAGTCTCCATTTTCACTGGACAGCAGGTCATAGCCTCACTTATGACGATTTTTGGTTGCGTACCCCCAAGCAACATAGACTCTGCCGAATTGGGGTTGGAAGACAGTTCTTTTAGTAACCCCAAGAAATCTAGACAAGTAAGTCACTTAGTCATTTACACTAAAAGATAGTGAGATTTTACCAACTTCATCCAATTTTGGGGTTGCCATCTGGTTTTTGTCTTCGTTTTTGCTCATCCCCTTGGCTTCCGTGCCAGGCAGATGTGGATCGCCGACTGCAAGAGCTCTGGCGGCGACTCTTAGAAGAGGTGCCGCGAAAAAAGGCGTTGAGATCAATGGAATCCTGGAACTGCCTGGGGTAACCGTTAGTAACCGTTAGTAGCCGTTAGTACCCCCAAAAAAGTGCCGAAAAGGTGCCGCAAAAGTATTTAACCGGAATGTTAGTTCAATGATCACTTCATACTTTCAGGCTTCTCACTGAATCCCGCTTTCTTGCCTATGGCTGGGGGTTGCTATATCCCGAGCTATGGCCATTTGAGTAGAAACACTGGATGGGCCATGGGGTTCTTATTTTCTGACCCAGCCCCAAATGGCTCAACTTGTCAGTACACCTTCTGTATGGGATGGTGTCAGTTTCATGCAGAAGTTTTCAAGTTTGTGAGCCAATTGGTATCTCATTTGCAACTCCCATATGTCTGGATGTTTGTGTCTATGCCTTTGTATAACTGTACGAAAGCATATAGCTATGTCTATGCGTTCAAGGGGATCCCGCCAAAAGACAGGAAAGTTAGGAAAGTGACAAATGCACATATTTTGGTCGCTCAAGTATGAAGTAATCATTCTGTTTTTGGGCAACCAATCTTTGACCCATGCCCTCACTGTCCCTACGAGCTGCGCTGTTGTTAGCCCTGAAACTCGCAAGTTTCAGGGGACCTCGTAGTTAAATTTCTTGTACATCTGCAATCATCTGCATTTTTTATTCAAGGTATTTTCCCAAAAAATGATTAGTATAAATTTCTTGCATTGATATTCCTGACACATACAGAAAATTAAGGAACCATCCTTGAACTATGGATTGTCAGAATCTTTGGACCCATTGGACCCAGGTCACCGAGGTCCCAGAAATTTTGAGACATGGAAAAAGCCATGGATTTTTCCCAGGACATGACATGAACTCCAGATAGTGAAGCTTCATGAACCTTCCATATCTATCCATATCTATGTTAGTTTGCTGGAAGGATCTGGAAGGTAAATTATTGATTGGGATGGTCAAGAACTGGTCGATCTAACAGTCTAACACCGACCCGAATGCCCGAATCTGCGAGGTTACTTCGTCCACTAATCCCCATCTGAATGTTTGGATCAATGGGGCTTGGACGACCCCGCAGATCCACTTAGGAGATGACTTAGGAGATTTTAGGACACATCCAACCCCCATTGATGAGAGGAAACCGGTTGACTTACCATGATCTATTTCATTCCTAGATTTGATTCGCGGGCAATTGATGTGTTGATGTGAGATATTCTTGAAGGTTACAGGCTCTGCATTTTTGTGTGAGTTCCAAGTTCACCGTTATCAGGACCCGCAAGACAGCTGCATTTTAGTCACACACTCCAATCTCATCAAGGAGGGGTGCGGCATGAGGGGTTTGCTGATGGGTACAGAGGTTTGACTACAGGTTGCGTGATTTTAAGTGGCTGTGTCTGAACCCCACAAAATGGATGCAAATGAGTATTTGGTACAGGGACAATCTGGGAAAATTATGATTCACCAGTGTTTTTTTTACAGCCTAAAATTTGAGACAAACCCAAGTGTAATAATTGTTCTCTCGGTTGATGATGTCACTTATTTCCAATTCCATGCAATGGATCTCCCGGTCTTCTTGAGATACGACTAGGCCCGTAACCATTGGATACTAAAACAATGGGATGGTTAAGTAGTAATAAAACATCTAGACACATCCATCTACAACGATGCTAAAGACATCCAAAAGAGTGAAATTATGTGGGGTCCGGGGGCCCCGAAACGACAAAACCGCGTGCGATTTCTGCTGTCTTCTGCGAGGCGCTCCTGATGAGATTCGGGGGTGCATCTTGGCGCTCCTATTTTCCCATCAGGGAATCTGCCCATAAATTGGGGTTTAATGTACCCATGATATGGATCCTTATTTTCAGATGACCACACCTTGTATACCGTGTTTTGATATGTTTTGACCACGGCATGTATGGCCCATGTTCGGGATGTGACAGTCAGTGGCTCACTGTGTTCCTAGAAACGGATAGAACTCGTGTCCTTTGACATACGAAAATTCCATAAGAGCCAGCATTTTACTGGTGCAATCTCCAGGTTTTTGCATGGGGCGCACAGGGTGTTGGACATGCTGGGACCTTTTTATAGGATGGTTTGGTGTCTATTGAACACAAACAGCACATATTTACCCTATGGTAAACTAACATAGCTATGGAAAATCACCATTTTCAATGGGAAAATCCACTATAAATGGTCATTTTCAATAGCTATCTTAAATTACCAGAGGGTAGACATAGTACAGTATCGATCATGAGGTGTGTGTTGTTGGCTTATTGGAGCGAAATTGGGACAGAGTGAGAAAGCATTAATTCTTCCGAACAGCTGCAATCCAAATGGAGCCCTGGAAAGATGCAAATTGGGATAGCGTAAACTTAATCAGCAAGTCACACAGGCGGCATGCGTATTCAGCGGTCATTTATCCCTTTTTGTTAAATGATTAAGTGTCCCCTCTATATATGGTCACCCCCCCATGATCTACCTAGAAGCATTTTATATGGGAATTGCCATGCTTTTTTTGCATATAAAGCATAAGCGGAAAAACAACAACTCACAGAAGGGGCGCTCATGGGGGGCAGGTTTCTGCACTTGGATGTTTCAATATATTTGGGTTGTAATTATAATATCTAATGCATTATTGTTCAATTGCAATGACTGATTAACAACTTTTGTCTGACCACTTCACCCCCTGGTCTGCTTCACCCTATCATCTGCTTCACCCTTTCATGCAGCCAATAATGCCTACAACCATACTTGTCTTGGGCCACATCGAGAGAAGCAAACAAAACCTGGAAAACTTAAAAGAACAAAAGCAAAACCAAAAAAACAAACTTTTGAGAGAATGTTTGGTTTTGACTCAAAAGCTTATTGTTTTCCTTATTTTTTTTGAAATGGAAACACAAAAAAAACTTCGTTTTTTTTGAATGGATATGATCAATCAAGATATCAAAAAAACAAAAAACTCAAGTTGTTTTTGTTTTTTCAACATTTTAGGTTTGGTTTTCTGCATTGAAAAGTCTCAAAAACCAAAACAATGTTTTTTTTGATGATATCTTGATTGATAATATCCATTCAAAAAAACTAAGTTGTTTTTTGTTTTTCCATTTCAAAACCAAAAAAACAAACACAACCTAGGGTAAACCCCAAAAAAACATCTTTTGAGTCAAAACCAAACATTCTCTCAAAAGTTTTTTTTTGGTTCTGCTCGAGTTCTTTGATTTTTTTGGTTTGTCATGTTTGTGCAGACGGACCTTTTACCGGCCCACAAATTGGGGTAGGGTGGGGTGGGGTGGGGTGGGGTGTGATATCATTCGTCAGTACTGCAAGACATGATGTGATGCTACGCTACGCATGGGGTGGGGTGGGGTGTGATATCATTCGTCAGTACTGCAAGACATGATGTGATGCTACGCTACGCATGGGGTGGGGTGGGGTGTGATATTGTTCGTCACTACTGCAAGACATGATGTGATGCTACGCTACGCATGGGGTGGGGTGGGGTGTGATATTATTCGTCAGTACTGCAAGACATGATGTGATGCTACGCTACGCATGGGGTGGGGTGGGGTGGGTTGTGATATCATTCGTCAGTACTGCAAGACAGGATGTGATGCTACGGAACTGGCGAAGCTGTAAGATCTCTCATGCGGTGAAGAGAAAAGGCCACTTTGTTCGTTCGTCGGGTTTTGCAGCACAAAACCCTGTAAGGGTTGCACACCACAGTAAAGCGGATGTTTTTTTTTGATGGTCGTTTGCCACATGAAATCGCGCTGGCGCCACAGCGAAACAACAATTTTTGGACAATCATGGGCCGGTGCCAGGTCCGCCGGGATGTTTGTCTATTGATTCACATGATTGTCATCTGTGTCCTTATGCTTGTTTACCTTATCTTATAGGATTCTTAAGGGGGGGTGGCTTAGGAAGCTTTGGGGAGCTGAGGTTACAATGACAACCTGCCACTTTAAGCTCTTAACCCTGTTTCCTAGAAGTTCTCACCCCCAGATGCTCGCCACACCTTAAGCTCAGCAAACTTTCTTCTGGTTGTCTACCAAAACATGTGTACTGATTTCCATGTTGGAAAGACAGAAGGTGTGAAACACCAAAACACCGTAGCGACATTATTTCAGCTGCGACAATGCCATACTTGGCGACAAGAAATGACGGGTTCCCAGAGACCGAATCCTTCTCCAGAGGCCCTCAGTAAAGGGATTGCTTGGGAGTGCTAGGGAGCTCCCCAATAGTGCTAGGGAGCTCCCTAGCCACCCAGAAAACGTACAAAAACCCGTGTTTTTCGTAATTTGTGCAAATTATATTGCGTTTTTTCGGGTAAGTCTGCACTACTATACCCTATCCGTGCTTGGAATGGGGTGGGCTGGATGAAGAATCATGGTCCCCAGCGGATTAAGCTCGGTGACACATAAAAAAGCACGGGTCCCTAATTAAGTTTTATGCCGGTTCCAAATTTCATATTCCCTTAATTGTTCATTCTTGGTTACTGCCAAAAACATGTATAAACCAGGAGTGCTAGGGACCTCTCCAGACCCTTTGGCATTCCTTAAGGGCCCTTTTCTTTAGCACTGCTAGGGAGCCCCATTAAAGGAATGGGGATGGATCTAACAGCACTAGGGATACATGTTCACCCCCCCCCTTCCATCCCCCCCTTAAGCATCCTATAATTATCGGTCCTGGGAAGTCAAGCTTTGACCAAAGTTTCTCACTCAAGAGCTTGCGCACTATGTGAGACTAAGCTTGGCATAGGATGTGCTGTGATGTTTATGCACTTGAAAATTAGCTGTTGCAACGCTTTCCTACTCTATCTCTAGCAACTTCTGTGCAAATATTGGAATCTTGGAACCTTGGATTCGTACATACACATTCCTGTCTAGGTTTGACATATTCAAACAAACTATATATATATATAAGTACCTGGAAACTGACACTTTTGGATACTTTGGGGGGAATGGTGGGGTATTTCTCTGAGAACATGTAACATTGCCTTGTACCAGAATGCTTTAATAGATGCTGCAGGACTTTGAAAGAATCTTACCTGTAAAGAAAGTCCTTCATTGGATGCAGTATTTGATTCAAAGAGTACCGGACACATTGCGTAAAATAGTTGAGGCCAGTGGGGCATGTTGTAAAAGAATGTACTGTTTCTGTGTAGTAGAATGCGTCAATAGATGCAGCAGTAGTAGTAGTAGTAGTCGTAGTAGTCGTAGTAGTCGTAGTAGTCGTAGTAGTCGTAGTAGTCGTAGTAGTCGTAGTAGTCGTAGTAGTCGTAGTAGTCGTAGTAGTCGTAGTAGTCGTAGTAGTCGTAGTAGTCGTAGTAGTCGTAGTAGTCGTAGTAGTCGTAGTAGTCGTAGTAGTCGTAGTAGTCGTAGTCGTAGTAGTCGTAGTAGTCGTCGTAGTCGTCGTCGTAGTCGTCGTAGTAGTCGTAGTAGTCGTAGTAGTCGTAAGTAGTCGTAGTAGTCGTAGTAGTCGTAGTAGTCGTAGTAGTCGTAGTAGTCGTAGTAGTCGTAGTAGTCGTAGTAGTCGTAGTAGTCGTAGTAGCCGTAGCCGTAGCCGTAGCCGTAGCCGTAGCCGTAGCCGTAGTAGTAGTAGTAGTAGTAGTAGTAGCAGCAGCAGCAGCAGCAGCAGTACTTTGAAAGAGTCTTACCTGTAAAAAAAGTACTCCTTTGAAAGAGGATCGGACATATTGCAGAAATTGGTGGAGCATTCTTTTAAAGATTGTACTATTTCTTTTAAAGGGATAGATGTAGTAGTACTTCGAACAAGTTTTGCCTTGAAAGAAAGTCTTTGAATGGACGCAGCACTCTTTTGATGTGTGTTGTATTCTTAAGCACATGTAGTAGCGCAGCATCACTCTTTGCATTATTCGATTACGAAAAGTATGAGAAAATGGAACATTGCTTTAAACTAGCATACTTTGCAAGACTCTTTCATGGGTGCAGTATTCCTTAGAAAATGCCATCAAACGTGTGAGGTCCCTTTGAAAAAGCACATAATTACTTAAATAAGAAAGCTCTCTTAGTCTATGCAGCATTCATTGAAAACAGCATACAATATATTTAGAAAACAATTGTAGTGTAGCATTGTTTTTTGCAAATGAAGATTGGTCCACCACCCAGAAATTTACTTAAAACCATGGGAAGAAATTCCACACAGCTACTCCTTGAAAATAGAAGAAGCAAACAAGTTTCAGCATGGACTTTGAAGTTGTTTCAAAGCAAACTCCTCCAACGTATGCCTTGCGCAGGGATATTTTTCAAAGATTACATTCCTGACATAAAGTTTCCTTATAGAAGCAGTTGCAGCACTTCTTTGAACGACATATCAGGTTATTACTTACAGCTTTAAAAAGGTAAAGGAATGAATCTATGCAAGGAGGACAGCATGATTTCAGAATGGAATCCTTTGAGTATCTATGTTAAACCATTATGGTATTGAGAAAAGAACGTGTTGGTGCAAGTATGGGCAAAGCTTCCATTTAATTGAAAAGCATGCAATAATACAAAGAAACATTACTATGAAGTAGAGCCCGTGGGTGTACGTAGCATTTTTTGAAAGAAACAGGTCATGGTTGTATGTATGCAATATGCTAAAGGTATATTACAAGTATTTTGAAGTATTAATACAGTATATTCAGGGTATACGCATGTTATATGAGACGGTATATTAAAGGTATATTAAATGGTATTGTCAAGGTGTATTAGATTGCATTTCAAAGGTATATAGAAGGTATATTAGTAATAACATACATGTTCTCATGGTCAATAGAATGGTATATTGAAGGGATATTGAAAAAACAAAGGTATATTCATGGTATATCAAATGATACACTCAAGGTATATGACATGGTCTATCAACAGTATTTCAAGAGGAATATGAAAAGATCCTAAAGATATACTACAGGTATGTTAAAGGTATGTTTAAGATATATTACAAATATATTCAAGGTATTCTAATGTTTTGTTAAATGGTATACAGAAGGTATATTAACTGGTAAATTAGCTGGTATATTAAAGGTATATGTATTGAAGGTATCGTCAAGGCATACTAAAGTTATTTTGAAGGTCAAGTGAATGGTATATCAAAGGTAGATTCTAGGTACATCAAATGATATATATATATACTAAAGGTATTTTAAATTGTATATTACAGGTATAATATAGATGTATTAGATGGCATTCAAAAGTTATATCACAGGGATATTGAAGGTATCCTAAAGGTATATTAGAGGCAAGAACATGGCCAATAAAATTGTAATTATATCAAGGTATACTAAAGGTATATTAGATTGCATATAAAACATTGAAAGTATATTGCATTGTATTTGAAATACCTTTTAAAGGTATCTTGAAGATATTTTCATAGTCAATAGAATGGTATATTAAAGATATATTGAAGCTATAGTAACGGTATAGTCATTGTATTTTAAACATGTTTGATCAACGCATTATTCTTACTCTGTTACCTCTACTTCATCAAAAAACAGAAAACCATGGTCATGCAAGAGAAGTGAGAGGAAGGATGAGCTTCATTAAAGCCTGTATTGCATCCTTCCACACATCTTATTTGAGGGAATAATTTTGTCTTCAAGGCAGATTGTATTTTTCTGCAAATCAAATGCTTTGAACACTTGTTTCTTCCCATCTTGCCAATGTTTATTTCTGCATCTCCAAAGTAACATCGACCTTTTTATCTGCAGAGAGTACAAAAAGGGTCTTGCATAGTGGTCAAAGGTGGGCCATGGGGAAAATCAAGGTAACACCTTCATTGGGGATCATTGGGGTAGATCATGGGGGGGTGAGCATGCATATATATATATATGTATTTCTATCTATCTGTATATGTATATGTATATGTCTCCGCCCCCTTGTGGATGAGGTGGGTGGTGGGGGGGAGATGGGGGGGTGGGATCAGGGTTTTTTCCGGGGCCATATATACACAAGACACGGGATCAGAGAAAAACACAAATTATACCCATGTATAGGTCACATCCCAAACTACTGATCTTGGGAAGCTGTTTTAAACGGTTCGACAAGCCCCACGCGAGCCGAGGTTGAGCATTCCCTTCTGGCTCTGAGAGCAGAGGCGCCTGCAGACCCCCATGTCACGCTGCGGAGCTGGTCGTTGGTCGCTCCTTGTTGTGTTCTGAAGTTCTATATCCATTCATGGGTTTGTCTGAAAATGGGGCATACCTTCAATTTATAGCAATTTGTGGGTATTCTATCTTAAACGGGAAGGGAGATCAAGGTAATAATCCATTGGAATTGGGGGGTACGCCCCAATGGTACGCCCCAATGGTCTGGTAATGCTATTCCATTTTGGCTCTCCTACAATTCTAGGCGCACATTTTGATCCACAGCCACTTGAGAATGACTCATTCTTCAACAGAAAGCCGTAGGCCCTTTTGGATCTTTTGGGCTACCTGAATCTGTTGAGAAACCCATCATACACCGTCATTTTCCTTGTTAAAACGGGCAATGAATTTAGGGTATATCCGGTATACCCCATTTTGAGACTTCTGTGGTTCCCCTACCACTCCCACTTGTCACAGGAAGTGGCCTGCAACTTGGATAGATTTTGCATGAGGTCCTGGTAGCGATGGAGAAAGGATGCACAGAAATCAAAGCAAGTCACCAAATGATGGATATGATATGGCTTTGTCATTCACCATCATTCACCATATTTGTATTCAGAGTATCAGGATCCATTGCCATTGTCATTTTTCCGTTACCTTTTCCTTTTGCCTTTTACCCAACAGAAAACTCGTACAGGCATGGTTTTCCCTCCGCCATTCGCAGTACTCATTGACATTTTCCAGGGAAACAATTCAGGTTTTTGCATATCTATGGGTAATTGGAGATATTTAATGTATCATGGGATGATGTGATATACGTTTTCCTTACCAGGAAAAACATACAATCCCCCAAAATAGGCTGCATATTTGTTGGCCGGATGAATTGGGGTTTATCTTTGGCTTTTGCACCATGAAATTCACCAATAGGTGCCATTTCCAAGTCATGTCATTCAATCCAAATCCAGAAAAGTTTGGATTTGGGCTGTTTTTTTTCTGGGGGGTTTCCCTTTCAATGGGTTCCACGTCACCATAGATTTCCGCATCATCCACTAGGCGGCGAAGGCGCATCAGCTGCATCGCCGTCGACGGTTGCCTCAGAAGAGGAGGCAGCATGCCATCTGTCAGGTCATTTGAAGCCCAAATTGATCCAAATGGTTGGATTTTCACAAAGGGTACTGTACTGGTGAAAGTGATGGAGAATAAGTCTTCTGGATATGGGAATGACAAATAAAGCATTTTGAACTCTGGAAAAGCATCTTTTCTCTTTTCTCCACAGGAGTTGGAGGGATTTGGCAGCAAATACGCCGTGTTCACTAGATGAAAGGGAAGTTAGGCAGCAAACATAGGCAGATGACAACTTTAAAAAGGGATTACACACTAGCAAAGCGATGGAGTTCCGCGTTGATTGCCTTTTGCATTTCGGTGGGTTAGATATCACGCGCGGATTGATATATATATATATATCTACATATATATATATATGTATGTATATGTATGTATATATATATATATATTGTGCAGGCTTGAGATGAATGTCAAAATCGATGGGCAGTTTGAAAGCTGGGTTGCCCCCAATTTTAGGTGGTCAAGTGCCGCTCATGTGAGATATCTCAATTTTCCCACATGGCGCTGTTTAACCAGGGGATGACCATCCCCATCGTCATCGTCATGGTCCTCCTCCTCCTTTTTGATTCTCGTTCCTCCTGCTCGTCCTCCTCATTATCATTATCGGAATCGGCATCCGCATCACATGCTCGAAGTTTCTTTCGGAATTGATTAGATGCCGATCATCACTGGATCACCGGGCCCAGACATTCAGCAAAGTGCTACCGCTGCCACCGCTGAACGCAGGATGGATATCACTGTCTCACCTCTGATCCCTTCACTAACTGGCATCTCGGATGAACCCTGGCAGCGGCAGCATCTTCTGAATTGAGGTCCCCTGTGCCAAGTGGCGTGGTTCTGAACCTTGCTCCTGGTACTAAGGCAGCTATTAGATTCAGGACCACATGACCTCCAACGGCTTAAGGTACGCGGTTTCCACCACCTTTCCATTGGCAAGTTGGGTTACCTTTTTACCTCTCTTGACTTGCATTCCAAATGTCAAAAGCTGGAGTTTCCCTTCAATCCAGCTTTGAATGTCAGAATATAGCACTCCAAGATGCCAACTTGAGGGCATCAATCTCTTGAATATCAGAATTCAAAGCTTAAATTTTCGGATTTTGATGCAGGTGGAGCGACTTCAGAACTGTGGTGTGCTTGGCCTACGGTGTGTTCTTGAGGCCCGGAGAACTTCGGAAAAGATGCGCCAACCAGATATCAGTGGGGCCAAAAAGTAAGGTCCCACTGGAGATTTTGACCCCAAAAAGGCTACTCCCTCGGCTTTGCTGATCTTATCTTATCTTATCTTATCTTTCAATGTTAATCATAATCTCAATCTTAATCTTAATCTTAATCTATCTATCTATCGATCGATCTATCCATGAGTCACATTGGTCTGCTGAGCTTGGTTTTGTGCTTTCGATTCTGCCAGGCTCCACTTGAAGATGGACTGGAGGCACCGGTTGTCTCCCACCCCACAAGTTGCTATGTCCATTATGTGGTGCTATGATACCATCCTCTAGATCATCATCATAACAATAATGATGCCAATACTACCAATAATAATAGGTATACTGCTACCAATAATAATCATCATCATCGTCATCGTCATCTTTATCTTCATCATTCACCATCTTCATCTTCATCATTCATCATCTTCACCATCTTCGTCTTCACCATCTTCATCTTCTTCATCTTCATTTTCTTCATTTTCTTCATTTTCTTCATCTTCTTCATCTTCATGTTCATCATCTTTTTCTTCATTATTCATCATGGTATAACCAACACATGCAATTACCATTTACATCCATGTGCATTTTTTTTTGTAATTATGATTACATATTACACTCTTATCACTATAATCATTATTATTACTACTATCATGATGATGATGATGATGATGATGCTGGTGCTGGTGCTGATGCTGGTTGATTTTGATTCCTATTTGTTGGTTTTATCCCGATTCATGGGATGATTAGTTTACCGAGCGCCAAAACCCTAGCGGAACTGGATTGCTGGAACCTTGGAACCGTGGAACCTGTTGCTGGGTTGCAAAACTGGGCCAATCATTGATACTTGGGAATGGTTTATTGTTGTGGACCCCGCATTACTCCTCTAGTTTTCACAACTACTCTAGGTAAATGGATGCAAAATGGAGGTACAGTTCTTTTTTCTTACCATCCATATAATATCACACTTAAGAGAAAACCAATGTCCCATTCGGTAGTAGGCTCTCGGATGGTGTGCTCCTAGATGGGTTAGTCAGCGATGAATTCATGAAGTGGTTCAAGGGTCAAGGGGGAGATCTACCGGACCCGCTGAATTTTAGGGCCAAAATCATGGTGTTTCGAGCGTAATTTTTCTTGGAACAGTCCAACTCCATTCAGTCCACTCAGTTTCATCCTTCGAACATGGGCTTGTCCAAAATAGGGTAGCCCATTCAATCCATTGGTCATCTTTTATCATCTTTTTCTCCCACTAAAATGGGTGGCCATCATTGGTATACCATTGGTACACCATCCCCCAGATCCGGCAGGAATGGGAGGACCTGATGCCTGTGAATAATGCGGATGGACGATGGGTAGCGAAAGATGCGCTTCTTGGAAGTGTGAGAAAACTCAAACGCCATGTTACGGTGGCAAGATGTTCGGGATGAAGATATGGCCATGGTAGTTTAAGGTATATACAGTATTATACAGTAATGTGGTAAACGGCAAACCCATGTAAACCCAATAATAAACCATTCCCAGCAATCATCATGAATGTGTTGTATAAACCATCCCCAAATGGTAGGTAAAAATTATTGGGTGTAGCTTAAATTGCATGATCTGGGATACACCCTGAACTGGTTGCTGTTGATGACCTGCTCCAGCTGGGTCCTGAGGCTCCTCATGTTCAACTCTGTGCTGGTGAAGTGAACCAAACGGCCGCCCGGGGCGAGGACCCGGGTCGGGTCATGTGGCACTGATTGTCCAGCCTTTCCCCAGCCTTTTGAGAGCAGCTCGAGCCAAAGAAGCTGACCTTTCTGGATGAATTAGGTCATAAGATGTCATAAGTCATAAGTATGATTATCGCCAGATTTTTTTTGTTTTTTTTTTCAAGTTGGCGAATAATGATTCAATTTAGCCCGAAACTTTGCTGACTTGAAGCTTTATTTTGAACGCACAGAAGGCTTGAGGATGCTGTCTTAAGCGCAACCCATCGAACAGACGTCTCACCCATGTCTACAAGTCCTCGGCTTACCCGGCCCAAATTTGAGGGTGCGCGGTGTCTGAAAGCTTACCTATTGCAACTTGTGGCAACTTGTGCCTTTTCTGGTTCCAATTCTAAGTTGTCATCCCATGGTTTGGGGTCCCACAATGTCCCATACGCTTCACCTTCCAAGACACTCCAAAAGGGAATGTAGTAGGAATGCAGTGGAATCTCTATATACAGTATATGATATACAGAATATACACACATATATATACATATACGTATATTAACATATATATATATATAGATAGATACATAATCATATATATATATATAGATGCATAATCATATATATATATATATATATATGTAATTTTCATATATATATATACACACATCTGTATACAGGGCACATACATACTAGGCACTCCCCAAGTCCCGCAACTGCGGTCAGGACGTTTCGGCTATAAAATTGTCTCACTCTTAACTTCTAGCATTCCGGACCTTCCGCTGCACCCTCGCAAACAACGATCACAAAGAACCGGGCACATCAGCGTCCCCTGATCCAGTGACTTCAGAGGATGCAGCCCCCTGCTGGCGCCTCAATGGTTAGGCAATCATTCAGCCGGTTGACGTTTTTTCACCGGTGAAACCATACCGACTTGGCAAGGCTGAGAGCTGTCTATGGCTGCATTCGAACCATGCCTTGACTTCTTTTGTGACTGAAGTGTTTTTTTCTTTCTCTTGTCGAAACCTTTCATTGTGGGTTGGGAGAACATGTCTTCGACGACTCCAATTCCTGTTTCTAATTTGGGCGCATGGTGTTTCGGCCTTGCGTATCCTCAGCCTTGGCTATGCCGCTATGGTACCTGCCTCATGGTACAAGCCGCCGCCTGTATTAGTGAAAGACTCGAACCTCCCATGTGTTCAACAGCCGTTCAAAAAGGACTCCTGGTTCCTTCTGGAATTTGTGGCTCCTCTGGACTATGGAACTTGGATGGGTAGGGTCAGAAAGCCAAGAATTCAGTATCCCTGAATTGTTTTAAATGTGGATGGTTGGATGCAATGACTTTTTCGATATCCATGGGTCCCTAAATCTTACTTTTCATTCATGCCCCGATGATCAAAAAGCTCATTCTTCGATGCTTCCATGGTCCAAATTTCCGGTGGACTGGACCTGCTTCATCCCAGAGAGTTGCAGCACCCATGTTTCTTGGTCGAATCCCCGTTTCTGTTGATGTCCAACTCTACTGGTGAAAGTTCCAGTACTGGTATGTTTGTATATATATATATACGTATAATGTATATATATATATGTATAATATATATATAATATATATATGAAATATGTCCCCACGCACACACACACACAAAACACCATTTCTTAATCTCGATTGAGATCCCAATTTTGCTGGTTGGCATCCAGATGTAGCCATAGAGATTCATGCACTAATTGCTGGTTTTATCACCAGATTTGTGTTGAAACAGATAAGACCAAGCACCCTTCTTGTTGCTTAATTCCCTCTGTTGGTTGACTAGTCATCCCAACTTTTGGTTGCCCACGTTCGTGTCATCAGATCTGAGACCCCACTCATATCCCCGTTGTGCCCTGCTTACACATATCCTGATCAAAACCCCCGTGATATCCCCACTAAGATCTCCATTATATCCCTGTCCATATCTTGGTTATTGGTTTGACATATGCTTGTTTTCCATCCTCCCTCCCACTGACGAGTACATTTTCAGGGCGCAGGAATCACCAACCAGTATCCCAATTGACTCCCCGGTTTTTGTTTCAATATCCACTGAATTTTGGCGGATGATCAAGATGCTATAATTTTCAATGTTCCAAGTATCCCAAAAGAAAAACTCCCCGATTTTTTGCCTCATGTTCTTCACTGTCCCATCCTCATATCTCCAGCGCTGGGCGAGGCCAGCCCCTGGGTAGCCACCCTGCGCCTGCGCCTTTGGCGCCGGAAGCTAACTCCAAGGTTGAGGCGTCGACCGCCACACGATTGAACCCCTTGCTTATTGGAGGTTCGTTAAACCCAGGATGTTCCTGTCAATTTTTCCCGTACTAGACTCTTTCTAGGAGAAATGGGTTGAAATAGGCTCTGGAAACTGCTCACCTACTGATTTGAGTAAACCAAGGTTCGGTCGGTGATTTCATGTTATTTCATGTTATTTCTATTCTTTTACTCATCAAAAAGGAACATGTCACCCGCAGCTAAAAATCAGCCTTTTTCGCCCAAGGCAGACGACGAAGATCCAGACTTTGAGGACTTCGCTTTCTTCGCCGCTTGGCACTGCTGGACATGGGGATGGGTCAAGTTTCCAGTGGATCAAGTTCACCTTAGATTTGTTGGAAGATTGGGATTGAAGATTGATCAGAAAAGTAGCCTTCTCAATCTTGATGATCTCAGCATTTTCATTAGTTCTACCATTTTACAACCCCCGATGATACTGGGTTCCCGGTAGCCGGACTGCTTGTCTTCCAAGTTGTTGAAGTCGTGTTTGGCTTCCGCGTCCACCTGCTGGTGGCATGACGATATCTCGTTGATGCTCTTTGTATCATGACATACGGCATGAATCGCAATTTTTCTTCCTACAATCCTCAGTCGCTTTTCCCGATTCAGTGGTCATTTTTTTTTGGTGCCCCATGTCATGCCAAAGGGCACGATTTCGCCCAAGGTGCTGCAAAAATCATAGCATAACCCAGGCACGAACACCATATTCATAGCATTTCATCCACAGTTTCTGGGGCAGTTTCTGGTTAACTCCCCATGTTTTGCTGCCCTAAGGCGGGGCTCAGCGAGGTGGCCTCCAGGTCCGAAGCCTGCGAGCTCGAGGCACAAGTTGATATTCCATCCGAGATCTACCTAGATAAACATATAAATATGTATACGAAGGTGTGTGTATATCTATATATATATGCATCACATATACAATATAAATATGTTATGTATATATATAATTATATATAATTATAATATGTTATGTATATTGTATATGTATATATATATATATATCTATATGTATGTTACGTACATATATATATATGTTACGTATGTATATATATATGTTACGTACATGTATACACACATATAGAGTTACATGTACATATGCATACATGCATACACACATCATACACACATACATACACACATACATACATACATACATACACACACACATACACATGCATACATGCATACACACATGCATACATGCATACATGCATACATGCATACATGCATACATGCATACATGCCTACATGCATACATGCATACATGCATACATGCATACATGCATACATGCATACATGCATACATGCATACATGCATACATGCATACATGCATACATGCATACACACATACACACATACACACATACACATACACACATACACACATACACACATACACACATACACACATACACACATACACACATACACACATACACACATACACACATACACAAATACACACATACACATATACATACGTATCTTACATACATATGCATATACATATACATATATATACATATACATATATATACATATATGTTATGTGTATATATATATATATGTTATGTATACATATACACATACATACATATCTTATATATATATGTATATATATATATACACATATTTATATATACATATATACTATATGTACATATATACTATATATATATGGTATGTATATATATATGTTATGTATATATATATATACACATACATACATATCATATATGATTATATACATATATATAGATATACGTATACTGTATGTACATATTTACATGTTATGTACATATGTAAGTTATGTATAGATATATATATATGTTATGTATATGTATGTACACATACATACATATCATATATGATTATTTATATATACATATACTATATGTTCATATATATATATATGTTATGTATATATATAATGTATATATATATGCTATGTATATATATATGTTATGTATATATATATGTTATGTATATACATATATATACATACATACGTATCATATATGATTATATACATATATATATACACATACTATATGTATATATATATACATATGTTATGTATATATATATATGTTATGTACATATATGTATATATATGTTATATATATATACATATGTTATATATATAGATGCTCTGTATATATATATGTTATGTATATATATATATGTTATGTTATGTATGTATATATTTATATATATACACATGTTGTGTATATGTGTATGTATATAGTATATGGTGTCCTCCGTTGCTGTCTTTCTTGGCGCCCCCCAAGGGCAAGTATGGATTCCATCAAAACATGTCTGACTTGGCAGGTACCTCAAAGTCAGAGCGGGTCCTGAGAAGACATGTTGGAGTACCGGAGGGTACTTATGAAAGTATGGTCCTTTCCAGATGTATGTACCAACGTTCGTCTTTTATTGACAAGAACTTGATGAAGAAACCAGGAACTTTAGGAACCAATAGGAGACTTGGCTCCAATCAGATCCCAAATTGTAGGACACCAACATATTTGAGAAACCCCCATATCCCCAGCAGGGTGTCTATTTGGGGGTGCGGTTTTCAACCATGGTGATGTCACCACAAGTTGGAGGTATCCCCCGGTATCATCCCATTCCCCTACTATGAAACACATAATCCAGAAACCATCGTCTTTCTTGGGGATAACACATATTTGGAAACTTGGTGGGTGTAACATGAACATTGGATATAGCTGGTCATATATATATATATACATATACATATGGATATATTTCCCATGATATCTCATTCATATCCCAGTAACCTCC